ACACTAAACTGATGAGCGGTAACAGCTTTTAAAGCGTCGCCTAGGGCCAATTTTGGGTATTATCGTTTTTTGAGGTTTCGCGCGCGCACGCAATTTTAAGGCTTGACATGTTTGGTGTCTTTTTACCCGACGTGACCCCGTCTTTTATATTTTACCAAAAAATTGGGTAATAATAAATGTTTTATCATTTAATATCGGGGAAACTGTTTTTTTTTTTTAAATTTCGGTAATTTTTCCTTAATATAGTAAAAAATAAAACCCCCAGTGGTGAATAAAAACCCCCAAAAGAAAGCTCTATCTGTCCCCAAAAAAGGGTATAAAATTAATTTCAGTGCAGCGCTGCATGACGGAATAAATGTCAGTCAAAGTACCGCAGCGCTGAATACTGAAAAATGGCCGGGACAGGAAGGGGGTGTAACACCGCGGATGTCAACTGGTTAAAGTTAAAAAGGCAAAAGTACATTTATATTGGAGTTGATGGTAGTTTTTTTGAAGTCCGAAATACGGAATTCGGATCCGGAATCCGTTAACGGAATTCGTATTTCAGATAAAAAAACAACTACCACTCCAATATTAACATTAACAAAGGTATTTTGCTTTTTAACTTCATCATAACGAAAATTCGTATTTCGTACGAATCCGAATGACGAAATAACGGATATTCCGAAACGAAACAGAACAAATTTTTTGATGGCGCACAAGTCTAACCTCAACGGCTGGGTGCGTCTGTTGCCTAAAAGCTGTATTTGGATTTAGCGTGTCTGAGCCGGTTTACAGTAAATTACAACATAGCCCATCAACCCCCTGTGCAGAGCGCAGCACCTATACCGTCCTCCCTCCTGTAGTCCAGACGCACTTCCTCTGGCCCTGCAACAGTGTACAGACCCGAGGCCAGAAGACAGCACCTCCTCCCTCCTGTAGTCCAGACGCACTTCCTCTGACCCCGCAACAGTGTACAGACCCGAGGCCAAAAGACAGCACCTCCTCCCTCCTGTAGTCCAGACGCACTTCCTCTGACCCCGCAACAGTGTACAGACCCGAGGCCAAAAGACAGCACCTCCTCCCTCCTGTAGTCCAGACGCACTTCCTCTGACCCCGCAACAGTGTACAGACCCGAGGCCAAAAGACAGCACCTCCTCCCTCCTGTAGTCCAGACGCACTTCCTCTGACCCCGCAACAGTGTACAGACCCGAGGCCAAAAGACAGCACCTCCTCCCTCCTGTAGTCCAGACGCACTTCCTCTGACCCCGCAACAGTGTACAGACCCGAGGCCAAAAGACAGCACCTCCTCCCTCCTGTAGTCCAGACGCACTTCCTCTGACCCCGCAACAGTGTACAGACCCGAGGCCAAAAGACAGCACCTCCTCCCTCCTGTAGTCCAGACGCACTTCCTCTGACCCCGCAACAGTGTACAGACCCGAGGCCAAAAGACAGCACCTCCTCCCTCCTGTAGTCCAGACGCACTTCCTCTGACCCCGCAACAGTGTACAGACCCGAGGCCAAAAGACAGCACCTCCTCCCTCCTGTAGTCCAGACGCACTTCCTCTGACCCCGCAACAGTGTACAGACCCGAGGCCAAAAGACAGCACCTCCTCCCTCCTGTAGTCCAGACGCACTTCCTCTGACCCCGCAACAGTGTACAGACCCGAGGCCAAAAGACAGCACCTCCTCCCTCCTGTAGTCCAGACGCACTTCCTCTGACCCCGCAACAGTGTACAGACCCGAGGCCAAAAGACAGCACCTCCTCCCTCCTGTAGTCCAGACGCACTTCCTCTGACCCCGCAACAGTGTACAGACCCGAGGCCAAAAGACAGCACCTCCTCCCTCCTGTAGTCCAGACGCACTTCCTCTGACCCCACAACAGTGTACAGACCTGAGGCCAGAAGACAGACGGAGCCGGTGCATCGCACCCCTAAAATCAATGTTGCTGCAGTTACTACTTTTATGGAAAAGGTGGACAAAGCCTTTAAGACAGGGGTAGCAAACCTCCGGCTGTGGGGGTGGAACTACAAATCCCACGAGGCATTGCAAGATTCTCACAGCCACGACTCCCGGAGAGAGAAACAAAACGCCATTTTGCCAAGATGCTTTTAGTGACCACGATCTTACGCACAGAGAAAGGAGAGAGAGAGAGGGGGGAAAAAAAAACCGATGCAAAATATTCCAGTTAACGAAACCAGAAGACGAGTTGATCGAGTTTCCAACCTTTTTATCAAATCTGGGAGCTGAGAAGTTGAGGAAACCCCCCGGGGGCGAGACGGAGGGAAGAGCTGGTCTGAGTGCGCCACCACGCGATCATTCGGCGCATAGCTAACGTCTGTGCGTAAGTTCAGGAAAAAATAAAACATTTGGTTTATTGTTAAAATCAAATTCTAATGAAAAATAAGACTCCACGTAGTTAGGGCGAGAGAGGCTTAAACAAAAAAAAAGGGACCCCAAAAAAAAAGAAAA